TCCCTTGCACTATACTGTTTGAATTTGTGCAACTCGACGAGGCAACACGTATTTCCCGACGTTTTAACGCCAGAGCGGGTTTATACTAACTATATAGTATAATATATATTATAATATATATTTTATTCATCTGTTGAATTCATTGGGTAAAGATGGATAACAACTTATTTGCACGATGGTTTTCAATGCGCGGAGTTAAATCGAATATGATAAACGCTATGAGTGGTGCTTGATTTAAATGTAAGAAGTAGAATTTCACAAATGGAACTTTTGTTAATTGCATTTCTTCGTTTAATTTGTGTTTTAGGGCGCCGAAATGAGTGTCCTGTCTGAGCGTGCTCTCGAAGTTTCAGAAGTCTGCATTCAGCGTTCTTGTACTGCCTTTCATGTAAGTATGTTTTTAAAGACATGGTATATCTAGCTCTGTTTCCTTTAACGAAAAAAGCTGTAATTTATCTTCAGTCATTTGCTGTATAAAGTTAGTAACTGTGTATCTAACTGATAGTATCTGCTTTTCCTAATTGGGTTATATTTTCGCTTTCCGTTCCGAAATTCCAAAACTTTTGCCAAGATTAAATGTACTAATTCGTATGTTTTCTTATTTATCCAGGTGACAAAGGGATTTCAAAAACCGGCCTCCAGTTAGAAAGTTTTTTTTTCCGAGGTAAGTTTTATCCTTGTCTTTTGCTATACTGTTTATATTTGTGTATTAAAGACGACTCGTATTAAACAGCTTTTTAGCACCAGAACGGTTTTATACTAACGTTATCACTTCTTTTCGTTTACTTGTGCTTTTGCTGAATACAAATAGGAAACACAAAAGCGCTGGTTCTTTCTTATGGATTCTTTTATTCATAATAAGCTGAACCTACTTTCTAAATATTGGAGTAGTGGGACTGGGATGTATCTGTGATTTCTCATGCTGTTACCTATTGGTTTCTTGTTGAATTTGAGCGTGTTTGCATGGTTCTTAATTCAGGCAGCTTATTTGTAAAGTGAATAGACTTCAGAACTTCAAGTTAATCGATTCTGCAAGTCCGATATCTTGTTAACTTGATATCTTTTCTTTTGCCTACAGGTCTGCGGTTCCTGCTGCTCTGCGCTCCTAAGATCTCTTTTCCGATCCACTCCAGCAACTCATCGTGCGTTGGCAAGTTTTCTCGACAATGTGTGCTTTTCCTTGAACTTTATTTTGATACCCGTGGCTTGATCTGTAATGTCCCGATTCAGTGCTGTATTTGTTACCAGTGGCTTGATCTGTAGTGTACCCTTTGTATACCGATTTATGTTACTGTTAACCTGCATGTTTCCTGTTGACTGCTGCCATTGTATGTGCTGCGGCTCCTGGTTCTCGGCGCTCCGACTATCTCCGGCAATTAATTCTTGACTGTGTGCTTTTCCTTGAATTTGTTTTTTATATCGGTGGCTTGATCTGTAGTGTACCCTTTGTATACCGATTTATGTTATTGTTAACCTGCATGTTTCCTGTTGACTGATGTTATTGTATGTGCTGCGGCTCCTGGTTCTCTGCGCTCCGACGATCTCCAGCAATTT